TATCAGTTAAAAATTAACCTTCGTCTCATCTTGTTTTCTTGCCATTTCAAGGTGATGAACCTCCATTTCCTGTACTTTCTCGTTAATTCCTGATTGGGTTTGTTTCATTTCATCCAGAGCTTTCTAAAACAACGTCACTCACGTTCATTAAACTCATTTAACATGAATTACCTCGGAAAACTGGGCGATGGAAACAAGTTAAGGTGAAGATGAGTCTGGATGTAGAATATGGTGATTATCTTAAAGATGAAACTACTTATCATGATAAACTAAATGTTATATAGTAAGAATATAGAAGAAACATCATCCTATACTGTTTTTTTCTAAAAAAAAATATCTTAAACTAATTCATTCTTAAGAGAGGGGATCGCCGTCTTTCGTACATATCGCTTTGACTATATCAGTTAAAAATTAACCTTCGTCTCATCTTGTCTCACTTCCATTTGATCTTGTTTTCTTGCCATTTCAAGTTGACGATATTTCAGGTCAGATTGAGACGGTGTCAGTTTGTTGACATTCGTCTAAATTGCAGTTCAACAGTTAAAAAATTTTCTCCGAAGTAACACGATCTAACTCATCTGAGAGTGTGTTCTTAAATACGTTCTGGCAGCGAATATGCCCCCCCTAAATTGGCCCCTAGTCCATATCTGCTAGATGGCAAATATGTCCAAGGGGGTCCTTTTTAGGGGGATCCAAATCTGCTGGGATACCGGCTAGGGCTGGGTAACGCTATGTACCAGATAGTTATATTTCAACCATTTTTTTCAAAGCATTCAAAAATATAGAATATATTGATGACATTCAAAAATTAATAAAACAATACTAATAGTCATAACAGATAAATCTTTCCTTACCTTAATTTTCTTTACTTGTTTCTGTATATTAGAATGCATTGTTTTAATTCCTGTCACTTCGCTTCTCATTTCATCTTGAACTGTATTCGTGAAGGTCTGAATTTCTTCACAACTATTGGTGACTTCATTCAGTTCCTGCCTTTGTAAATTCTGATTATCCTCCATTTCATCCAGGTTTGTACGAATTTTTTCACAATTATCGATGATTTCTTTGAGTTTCCGTTTCTGTCTTTTCTGAGTACCAACCATTTCATGTAAATCATCGTCAATATCATCTACCTTCTGTCCATATGCGTTTTGAGTTTCTTCCAGTTCCCTTTGTTTATCGTCGAATTCTTTCTGTCTCGCTCTGACAATCTTGAAATCATCTTTCATTTCTTCGTGACGCAGTTTGATATCTTTCAAACCCTGAATATTGGCTCCACCAAGCTGACAGAAACTCTTCTTGTGGTTGTCTTCATCTTTTGCATTTACTTCAAGGTGACACTCCTCACACGTTACTGGACGGTATTCACAATTGTTCACATGATTTTGTAGATTTCCAAGCTCAACATGCTCCGGACACCCTCGATTCATGTATTCACACTTGATTCTCAGCTCTGATAAAATGTTGTTGAAATAGTTTCCAGGACATTTCAAAGTTTCCAAAGTGAGGTGTTGCCGACATTCTGGGCATGTCTGGGAATTAGGAAGATGTTGAGATATGCAGTTTAAACAAAATTTATGTTCTTCGGCCTCGCATAATCGTGGCTCGTTTAACACACACTGGCAAATGCAGCATTTAAACCATGAAGAACTCGATCAACGAAACGGTCAGGATCATAGCCTTCACCCATCTGCATTATCTTCACATGAATCTGAAACATGTTTTCAATAAATGGTTAAAGAAATTATTGCCATAAATTACTTCCTTAGCCTGGATTTCATTTGGACGTAATTGTCATGAAAATGTCAAGGTGGTTGATGTATTTGAATATTGCTATGGAGTGTGTGCAATCAACAATGACCGATTGGAATTATTACCACTAAACAATAACGAAAAGTTTACATCTGGACTATTTCACATTGGCAGGACTTGTTTACGACTATTGCAACAAAGAGAAATGATTGATATCTACAGAGTTCTTATATTTTATAAATAACGCAAGATTTAAAATATCATTCTCAAGGAACACTTCGCTGCCCAATAGTTCATAGTTGTGTTTACACTGTGCACTATACCCTCTGTCTCTTACACGATATCGTATTTTGGAGTTTGAGAACGCTCTGAACACTTTGAATTAGGATTTTACAATAAAATCAAACAATAATTGTGAATTAACTAAGATTTGTTGACAAAGATTACTCGTAAACGACAAGTGTTGATCTCGTGACTCGGGAATCTGGTAAAGTGTAAACGTGGCAACCAGTGGAACTATCAAACCTACAGTGATTGGTAGCGAGGCTGATTTTGACACTGACAGACCATGCAACTTAAACCACACAAAGATAATCAAATTAGACTTACCAAAGCTGATGAATTATGACAGATTTTCGCTTTGAAATTCAGCAAGAAGCTGGTGTTAGCATCGTCTCGACGGTATTTTGTGTCTAAGATACAACACCTTGATATGACGTAGGTGTATTGTGTTCAAAACATCGCGTGGTTCTAAAGGAAGTCTACCAATATCGTTATAAGGAACTAACTGTTTGCTTCGACAAAAAATCTTTATTATCATGCATTTCATTGATGTTCAAGTATCAACCAGAGATTCGTTAACCGAATTAATATTGCTCACAAGAAGACAAGATTTGTCAAAACGTATTTGTTTTGAAAATACCGTTTCAAGAATCATGTTGCGAGAATTTATTTGCATTTTGAGAGACGCTACGCTTGAATCTGCTACGGATATTGTGCCTTTGATTATTCTGTGTTATCCTGGGTAATCGTAATTTAATATTTGCTAATATTTGACTTAAGTTTAGCGAGTTTGTTTTGTCTTGTTTTGTATTTGAGAAAGTTACGATTATAGTCGGCAAGCTTGGTCAATAATTTATGAATGTGCTCGCTAAATTCTGATCTGAAAATTTCAACTATCAACTTGCGATTTCAAGTAACATTAAACGTTTAATTGATTTATTTATTATCTGTGTAATAAAATATTTTTCAGAACTGGTTTCGGTTTTAACAATCCATTTCTGAGCAATATTGAAAGTCATTTTCACATTTGCATTTTAAGAGAAGCTTTTGCACTTTTGTTTTTGTTTACAACGATTGTGGCATTTTGATTCGAATTTTGCGATGGTTCGTTGACTGTAATTCAATGTTTTATATCTCTGAGGATAGTTCTGCAATAAACACAGTTTATTACACAGTATTTTTGAACGTTTTATAGTTGTGCATTAATGATAACACATGATTTCCCCCATTCAGAACTTCATGTAATTTAAATTATTAAATATAGGTACAAACATTTATCAACAGGAGTCCCTGGTTCACCCGCTTCTGCCTGTGATTCCTTATAACGAGGAAAAGGCGGAAAGATTGTGACCAAAATACAAAATGACAACTTTTAAACACAGTTTATTACACTATATTTTTAAACTATCGCTTTATAGTTGTGAATTAATGATAACACTTCACTCATCACGAAATACTTTGTTATATAATCGCTTGTTTATAATAAATGTTTTACCAACTGCGAGAAATCCTTGAATTATTAAAGACAGTCAAACAACATTCGTTGCCTCGCTGTTTGAACTCAGACAAATGGCCAGAAATTATGTCCGGTTAAAAACACGTTGAAAAGTTTGCTAAATGCTGCTAACTTTGCACAAGAGATCGCTTAAAATATAAGCAAACTCACCAATAATTTTCGTAGGGACAAAATTCTTCTTTTCTTGTCTCAATTCCTTTCTCTTTGAGTTATAATACGAAGTACAATGCCTCGTCTTATTACCATAATCCTCAAAGATTCATTTCCTGTCCGGAAATTAAACAATTTTTGAAGTTAGTCCAGTACATATTTCACATAAGTAACAGTTCTGAACTTTATATGTTATTTGTTAGCCAAAGAATACTGGAATAATCTTTTAAAGGTTCATATAATAATTTGTGTAAACATAGGTCGATAATGACTAATCCTATTTTAGGCAGTTGTTATACCACATATGATGCTAAGGGGCTGGTTAATGGACCGGGCTAGCCCGCCTTCCCGGGCTAGCCCGCCTTCCCGGGCTGAAATTTAGCAAACGATTATATGAGTAATTTTTGCCGGGCTGAAATTTAACAACCGAAGAAAATTTAGCAAACGCTGAAGCCATTGTTGTTTATGCATGTGTGTAACACTGTGCATGCGTTGACAAATTCCCAGCCCGATTACATAATCGAAACGTGAAAAATTGCTTGCGATAATATTGGAAACGGGCTAGCCCGGTCCATGTGGTCGGTCCATGTAAAGTTTAATGAATAATATGTTAGAGTGGTTGAGATGACCACGGCACTGCCGGGTGTTTGAGAAAAGTTGGTGAAACTCAAATACATAAAAATTTGAAGAAACTCACCAAAATTTTCGTAGAACAACAGAATGATCTCATGACTTGCTCTTTGCATCAGTAAACAATGCCATTTGCTCTTAATGTGTTTCAACTGGAATGTTTTGTATTGAGCCTGGTCTGGTCAACCAAGGGCTGACTTTTCCATCTCTCGTTGTGTCTCGTTGAAAATTTAAACTTTGTTTTGTTGTTCAGGTTCCTCGTGGTCCAGCACTCCAGCATATACGAGATCAGGAATTATATCACCCTTCGTTGACAATGAAAGCATGGTTGAATAAGAAATATCTGGATGATCCAGTTAAACACACACACAGGTTCTATGCATTTTAATTTCAGTCACAAAAATTAAACAATGTTTATCTTTAATATATTTACATTAATATAAAAAGGAATTTGGCTGATGAAAAATCGAGCGAAATTTATTTACATTTAGATCTAACCTGATTGCTTCCATTAACGGTACTTGCTGAGTCACTTACGCCAAAAAACAATGAAGTTGTTCTTCTGATAGGTTTTCTGTGCTTCTGGGGCAGGTTGTATGAAAGCTGGATAGCGATATCCATCGGATAGTGGTTTTTTCAACCGTTCTAAAAAGGCTCAAAAAGCGATAAAATTTCAGTTTGGAACCAACAATTATTGAAGAGGATCCTCGATTTAAGAATACTAAGATTTAATCAAAGATATACCCAACAACGGGTGACTTTAAAGCGACTTTGAAACACTATCCGGTGGATAGCGCTATCCGGCTTTCATACAACCTGCCCCTGGTTGCTCATATATCAAGAAAGCGACGAAACAATGATTGACCATCACGACACAAAATATTATCATATTCATGCAAGGACACAATAAGAAGTTTATATTGTGAAAACTTTCAGATGTGAGGTTTTACAACAGCAGTTGCCCAACATCTTTTTTCTATCATTCCTGGCAGTTCTTTCCAGCCATCTCCACCAATGGTGAAGGTTTCCACTGAGTTGAGATATCCCTGCTCATTATTTCTTCCACCAAACACGACAATGACGTCGTTCATGATGACAGCTGAGCTGCCGCTCCTTTTGTAAATCATGGAGGGCAGTGGCTCAATTTGCCCCGTCTCAGTGTCATACATGATGACGTCATTTAATGCCTGAGCATTCTTATTCTCACCACCAAGAACAATGATCTTATCACCCCAAGTGACTGTGGACATATGACAAACAGGCTGAGGTAACGATGTACATGGCTTGAGCTCATTCTTAATCAAATCGTATAAAACAACGCTGTCAAAAGCATCTTTACTAAGGTGGGTTGTTTTTCCGCCCAAGATAAATATTTTTCCATTAACAAATTCTGCCCTGTGAAATGTTCTTGGCTCAGGCATTCTCGTCAGCAGCTTGGCAGTATAAGGTGGGGTAAGAGCAATTTCATAAATGGCATTCGATATTTCTCTTTCATTCCAGTCATGTCCTCCTATTATATAAAATTTTCCTGAATAAACAATGACGTCATGATCAGCTAATTTGACAGGCAGTTTACCACCAAACATTGTCCATCGCAAAGGATGTTGGTTCATCTTCAAAACTTCGATCTTGTCAGTCCCTTCTTTACCATCGTAACCACCAACGACCAGAATGTCATTATTGTAAACACACGATGCTGATGCTGTTCGAAGATGATTCAATGGTGGCAGCATAGTCGACCTCTTCTCAACAATATTATATTTTTCAACAGTTTTCAAAGGAGGTGCTTCCCCATGGTCATACCAACCACCAACAATAATAACGTCTTGGTTATTAGTTGGAATTGTGGGATCTGTAGCTTGAGCACCATCTCTGTTGACAATATTTTCTTTGAATAGATGACCCAATAATCCTTCAAGTCTTTCCAACTGCTGCTTTATAACCTCAAAACTACCCTAAATTAAAAATGAAAAGTTGCTGTGTAGAACATTACTTATTCATTATTGCTTTTAAATCTCAGCCGAAATCCTGTACACATAGAGTGACCACTGGGGATGCAGCCTCTAAGAATTACTGACCAGGTTGGCAAAATGGATCTGTGGCATAGAGTTGTGAATAAACGATACATTTTCAATTTAGAGTTCTATTTTACGACGTTTCTAAGAGTGCTGTTGTTAGGGTTGCAAAGTTTTCACAGCAAATCACTGTCGAGCTTGTGGTATCGCAGTAAAATCAACCGACCAACTATTCTATGGGGCTTGGGGATTCACATTCCGCGGTTTTTTACACTGTGCTAGTATGTGCGTGAAGGTTAAGAATATGGCGCTAAATCCAATGACAATAGAAAACCTTTTAAATTGATGTAGGATGAACCATATTTTGCAATTTAAGGTATCACTGTTAAACTAAATTCAATGGGAGGGGAGGGAAATCTACTGCAAGTTACAACCACGCATTTTTTCATAAATGCAGTTTCCGAAATCCAAATTTTATTTCGTTATTATGGGTCTTCTAAAGCATTAAAAATTACATTTCGATACATCAGTTTAATAATTACATAATTTCGCTTTGGATCCAACGCGCATTCCACGTTTATTTTGAACGAGGCTGTCCAGGCAAATAACATAATTATCGAGAGGGTGCATTTCGTCACGTGACAGCTTATATGATAATCAATGACCAGCAATTATGAAATATTATCACAAATATATTCTTACCTCCATTTTCTTTACTCTCTTGTGAATTCCTGATTGGGTTTGTTTTATCTCGTCAAGAGCTTTCTAAAATAACAACCTCACTCGCGTTCATTAAACTCATTTAACATGAATTACCTCGGAAACGGGGCGATTGAAACAAGTTAAGGTGAAGATGAGTCTGGATGTAGAATATGCTGATTATCTCAAAGTTAAACTGCTTACTTTGATAGATTAAATTTTATGTAGCAAAAATATAGAAGGAACATCATTTTTATAAGAAACATCATCTTATACTAATTCTTAAGAGAGGGGATCGCTGTCTTTCGTACATATCGCTTTGACTATATCATTTGAAAATTAACCTTCGTCTCATCTTGTCTCGCTTCGATTTGATCTTGTCTCGCTTCGATTTGATATTGTTTTCTTGTTATTTGAAGGTGCTGAATATTCAGCTCAGCTTGAGACGGTGTCAGTTTGTTGACATTTGTCTAAATTACAATATGATGGTTAAAATATCACGAGAGGTAACAGGAGAGGTAACACGATCCAACTGATGTGTACAAAATTTTCTCTGTGGTGACATGATATAGTATAATCTATGAAGTGATAGTTGAAACTGGGGCCTTAGGCACCTTACGATATGGACCTTATCAGATTTTATTGTTTTACTTGTTTAGGCTTTCTGTTTTTCTTGTTTTCTCGAGGGCGCTAGTGAAGGTGTTTGGCTTGTTTATTCAGCCAATGTGGTATAAAATGCTACTTCATAGAAAGCCTTCGCGCTTTTAAAAACTTGGTATCAACCTAATCAGAAACGGAGGAAGTATTTGCAACATGATTATAAATACTAGCGAATTTAATATTCAATTTAATTCCCACCGGTTAAACATTCATCAATCTATAAAATATGTTAAGATAGTGACCCCCCTCTTATGAACACATCACGAGTCTATAAAATTGTCGAAATGAAAAAGATATTTCTTTAATCACCTTCATTATTTTTAATTCTTCCTGCATATCATCATGTTTTTTTGTCACCTTATCCCCCGTTTCAGCGAAAGGTCTCGACCTCTTCACAGTATCAAGACTTTGACACAGGACTTCATCCAGATCAACAATTTCCTCTGGTTTCCTCTCAGTTTCAATTTTAGTTTCTCTCATTTCATTTTGTCTCTTGCTGAATTCATTTTTCTCAGCTCCCTTAGAAAATTCTTCATCTTTCATCTGACGGAAATTCTGCTGGTCTTTGCCACTCACTAGCGAGCTATACTTTTCGGCAACCATTGTTGGACGGTATTCACAACCAATCACGTGATCTTCAAGATTTCCAAGCTGAACGTGTTCGGGACACCCTCGATCGTTGTAATCACACCTGATTCTTAGTTCCGACAAGATGTTTATTAAAAACTTTTGGGGAAGTTGCAAAGTTTCCAATGTGAGGGGTTTCTTACATTCTGGGCATGTTTGAGACTGTTTAGCAAGGTGTTGTGTTATACAAATGGAACAAAAGTGATGTTCTCCTGCCTCACATATTCTCGGCTCTTTCAACACACGGTGGCAAATAAAGCATAGCAAATCTCGTTTAACTTGTAAAATGAAGCGATTTGGATCATGACCTCGCTCCATTGGTACTTCACTTTCTGAAAAAAAATTAATTTAAAGTTAAGGTTGTTACTTCTTCACTATAATACGGTTAATACTTCACTTTATGTACTTTTTCACACAGGCACATAAGATTTTTTAATACAGGTTTGTTTTGACAATACCATTTTTTATGAGCATCATGCTGTGAGAAAATTGCAGCATTCCATTTGGACGCGTCAGCATTTGTATTTACTAAAAATATCATTCTTCTTTTTCTTGTGTTATTGTAATTTAATATTTCATATTGCTAAGAAGATTTCAAAACAAGGAGAATTTGTTACACAATACTTTCTAAGTTTTCCTTTATGGGCATCCATAAATGACAATTGCATGTCAGAACTACAATTAACCGTTGAAATCAGACAACTGGACAAAAATTGCATTGGCTAAATAGCAGATGAAGTCCACTGATGCTGCTAACTTTACACACGATATCGCTTAGAATATAAACAAACTCACCAGCAATTTTCATAGCGACAAAATCGCTATCTAAATGCTCTATATCTTGATGCAACATCTCGTATTACTGTGAACCTCTGTCGTGAAATAAATGCGAAGACAGCACAATATTCTTGAAGCTGTTAAGATGGATCAAAATCCCCATCTTTGGGCAAAACTAACAATGCACCTGAAACGTTATAAGATTGACCATGAAAAACATCGTAAGTCCAATCAAATTGCATGAAATAAATTTCCACAGTGAAATACGATTTCTGTTTCATCATTCTGCTGTGCATAAATCTCTATACACATATAATTGATTGAGAGTTATTATCATTGATAAAAACACAAGATTTAAACTATCAATCTTCAGAAATCTAATCCAGTACTCTACCTGTTGAATTATCAACCTATATACAGAGATTGATGGTGAACGATTTCATGAATTGAAAACATTGAAACGTTTAACCGATTCAAAGCTAATCAACCGAACAGTTTGATCTTAGATTTAAAGTTAGAAAAATTAGGCTATTTGATTTAAATCAGTCAATCAATCATTCGATTTGATTTCAACAAAGTGTTGATTTGCATGGTGACCAGTTAATTTTGTCCGTAAAGTGCAAACTATGACATAACTTTTGAATCAATGCATTATTTATTTTTAGGCCGATGCTGATATTGACAGTGACAGACTATGCAGCTTATAAAAAACACACAGAGGAAATCAAATTAGACTTACCAAAGGCAAAGCTGATGAATGATGACAAATTTTTACTTAAACATTCTGCAACAGATAGGTGTAACGTCGTCAACAGTATTTTGTATTTAAAACAACACCTTGATACGTCGTCGTAATGTTTATTGTGTTAACGACATCAGGCTTTGAACGTTGTCATAAAGAGTCTTCATTTATAACCTGCTTCGTTGGATAACATTCTTATATACTATCATGCTGTGAAGATAATTTGACGCATTTGGATTTCAATGATAGTCAATTTGAGATTACCAAATAATTGAAGGAGCTGTTTTATTGAGTTGTGTTTTATAAGCACATCATATTTGTCAAACTTGACTTCGATTTTGACAATACTAACTATGCCGAAGGATTATTAGCAAATTAAAATTTTGAATTACAATGATCCAGTCGCGTACCACTCGAAACAAAAGCACAACATGCATTCGTAGCAAATCAAAATGCAAATACAAACGCATCTCTCAAAATGAAAATAAATTTTGTTTCATGGGCTTTAAACTCAGCCCAATTCTGACAAATCTTGTGTACTCGTGTGAAATAACGACGAAATTATACTGGGAATCTCATGTTGATACTTGGAACAGCAGCAATAAATACAAATGTCTCAGGTAAAAACAATTTTCACAGCATGAAGGTAAAAATGTTATTGTTCAAGCACACCATGCAGTTAGGTCTTTATAAAGATCTTTAAAGTCTGATATTATATCACGCGATGTCTTGAATACAATAAATATTATTACGACATTTTAAACAATATCGTTGGTCGTGTTAAGACCAGAATATTTAAGTTTAAATCTGTCATAATTCATCGGCTTTGGTAAGTCTAATTTGATTATCTTTGTGTGGTTTAAGTTGCCTGGTCTGTCAGTGTCAATATTAGCCTCGCTACCAATCACTGTAGGTTTGATAGTTCCACTGGTTGCCACGTTTACACTTTACCAGATTCCCGAGTCACGAGATCAACAATTGTCGTTTACTAGTAATCTTTGTCAACAAATTCTTTCACAAAGTTTTTATTTGATGACAAGATGGTTGAAGGTTGAAAGTTTAAATCTGATGTTCTTATAAAAGATAAAAACTCTCCATGAATCTCTGTAGGTTTGATAGTTCAACCAGGCAGAGCAGTGAACTAGATTTCTGATGGTTGATTGTTTAAATCTTAATAATATTCTTGTATGTTTGCATGGTGACATCAATAAGTAATTTAGCTTGTAGGTACACCACGTAAGTATTTAATACTGCAAAGCTTTCGGTCCTAAATTCATCAGTGCAATAGCTCACATTCATATTGCACTGATAAAGGCCCGGGTTGGTTAATAGACCAAAAGCTTTGCAGTTTACATACTTACGTGATGTACCTACAAGCTAATTCACTTAGTTTAAATCTTGTTTATTAACATTTGAACTCAACACCAATTTTTATAGCTTAATAAATACTTGATCAAAAATAACTGACCTAATTATATAAATATAATTTTTATCAAATGCGTACCAGGCTACTAATACGAATTCATGCATTTCTTGTTTGTTTCAAGTGCAAATACATGCCTTATGCCATATAATAAACTTTTTATTGTCCTTGCTCGGTCTTTACCGAGAAATATTGGACCTCGATCTTTTTGTACAAACCTCGCTCTTCCAGCTCGGTCTGTTCAAAAAGACCTCGGTCCGATGTTTCTCGGTAAAGACCTCGCGCCCGGTTAATAAGAAGTTAGTAATTGAGTTTTTAAACTTTGCTGTATATTATTAAGACGACTATGTGCAGCATTGATCATCACTAGGATATGAGATGAAAAGTGTTATTGTGAGTTAATGATTAATTTAAACATTTAATAATGTTTCAGATACGTATTACTAATGGCTACTGGTTATGACCCAACCCGCTTCATTCACTCCGTTCACCAAGATTGTTTCTGCAGTATTTGTCTTTTGGTATTAAGAGATGCACGAATATGCAAAAAAGAACATCAATTTTGTTCCAATTGTATAACCCAACACCTTGCTCGTTCCTTAACATGTCCAGTATGTCGAGAACCCCTCACTCCAGAAACTTTGAAACCCCTCCACCGTTTTTTTCGGGACCGCTTGTCAGAGCTGAAAATCAAGTGTGATTACTTCAATCGAGGATGTCCTGAAATACTTGATCTTGGAAATCTACAAAATCACGAGGATGTTTGTGGATACCGTCCAGTGCCGTGCCAGAACTGTGGCGTGTACGTAAGTGCAAGAGACATGGATATCCACCAAAATTTTTGTGGTAGCAATGTGCAAAACTTACGAAGGGTGGGACTAGATGAATGCATGAATAGGTATGAAACACTTTGTGCTTCAACAAATGTATTTCAAGAAAGTATAAAAAATGAAGTTGGAGAAGTTTGTCAAAGAGTAACTGCAATTGAAGAAATATTAGACATTCATAAATTTATCATTAATTGACGGCGAACTTAAAATTCCTAAACCAGCTTCGATTGTAATTGCAATAGTTCAATATTTTGTGTCTAAAACATCAGCTTGATATATGTCGTAATATTTATTTCCAAGTCATTTTTAAAACATTCTTGCAGTCCTACGCAATTAGCTTTAACAATATCATTTTTGGCATCACGCTGGGGAACTTGCGAAACTTTAATGATTAAACATTTTATTTCCATTTTTTCGATGTTTCAAGTAGCAATATATGATATGATATTCCAAGTACTCCAAGTTACATCAAACTGTTCGTCGATTGCCTTATCATCTTTTTACTAGTTTTTACAAAACTAGTTTCGGTTTTGACAGCAACAAGATTTATCGAAACTGTAGTTTCGATTTGCCATTTAGCATCATGCTGTGAGAGTTTTAAACATTTTTCAGATATTCGCATTTCTTTGTTATTTCAAGTATCAACTTGAGATTGGTATTATTGATAGTTGAGTTATTATCTCGCATACAAGATTCAAAAGTGGTTTATTTTGACACTAACAGTTTACTAATCATGGTGCAAAATCATTTTAGTCTCTCAGACACTTGCATTTCTTCGATGTTCCAAGTATCAACATGAATTTCCTAGTATTATTAAATGGTTCATTAATCGAGTCATTACAACAAGATTTAAATTTGGTTTGTTTCGACAATATCAGTGCCAGCCTCATGCTGAGAGAATCTCTAGCGCTCTCTCTCGCTATATTTAGTATTTAAAGTGGTTGCTCTTTTAAATTGAATGTCGTGCTGGGGTCTTAATTAAATGTTCCATGCTGTGTCGCAAAGTGAATCTACGTATCTCGCTTTGGCTCGAGTGATTATTGATTTGTGTCCATTTCAGAGCTAGTCTCCCAGAGGGACTCGACTAATGGACAAACAATAACACAACTGTTAACAAGGTATAACAACAGCGTAGAGTTAATAAACAAGGAAATAAAAGTCTTCAAACAACTTAGCATCAAATGTGGTATAACAACTGCCTAAAATAGACGAAACACTTCTCAACGTTTCGACCTGAGGGCCTTCGTCAGGAGAGTTAGTAAGGTGATAATACTAACTCTCCTGACGAAGGCCCTCAGGTGGCAACGTCGAGAAGTGTTTTGTCTATTTTAGGCTGTTGTTATACCATATTTGATTCTGAGTTGTTTGAAGACGCTGCCACGCTGCTCTCTGGTTATGTTTAACAAGGGTTTAAATTATGTCCATCGTGATTAAATATTTCATGCTGAGACTCAAACTAAAGCTATGAATCTCGCTTTGGTTCCAGTTATTGATTTGTGTTGATTTCACAACCAGTCTCACAGAGAAAGTCCAGGCATGAAATAACACAATTGTATTTGCCTTCATCGATGAACAAAAACACAACATGTTGAACACAAAGGTTTAAATTCTGATAAAAAGTATTCAATAATAAGAAATTTCAAGTGGAAATTTTTCCACTCGAAATTAATACCTATCAATTCTCTGGAAATTAGTTAATGCTACAAAATCTCAATTGATTTATTGAAAAGTGTTTGAAATTCAGATGAAGACACAGAAGACGTAAGGATTTCAAGAGCGTATTCAAATACAGCTTTTATGCGACGTTTTAAAGGGAGGGAGGCTGGGGAGATGTCTACGGAGAAGTGTTTATGACCCAAGTGTCCAAGAGCATAATTCGTCAGAAGTGTTAGTAAAGTCATACTAACTTTCCTGACAAAGACCTTTAGATCGAAACGTCGAGAATTTTTCCTGGTCTAACAGTTTTCAAACCACACTTGAATATTTTGTTTCAAACATCACCTTGATATAAATTATGTCGTAATATTTATTTCTAAGTAATTTTTTATTCCTGTGGACCTACGCAATTATCTTTGACAGTAACATTTTTAACATCATGCTGTGAAACTTGTTTTTATTCCCGTCATTCAATTTGCATGTCTTCGATATTTCAAATATCAATATGATATTCGAAGTACTATCAAATGGTTCATTTAATGAGTTTTTACAAGATTTGTAAAAACTGAATGTGAGAATTTACAAGATTTGTAAAAACAGGTTTCCGTTTTGACACCAGAAAGATTTATCGAATCGAAACTAGTTTCGATTTGCAATTTTTACAATCATGCTGTGAGAGTTTTAAATATCTTTAAACACTTGCATTTCTTTGTTATTTCAAGTACCAACTCGAAATTGGTATTATTGATAGTTGAGGTGTTATCTCGCATACAAGATTCAAAAAGTGGTTTATTTTGACACTAACAGATTTCTAATCATGGTGCAAAAATTGTATTCATTCCAGTCTCTCAGACACTTGCATTTCTTGGATGTTCCAAGTATCAACATGAGTTCCTAGTATTACTAAATGCTTCATTGATCGAGTCATTACCACAAGATTTAAATCTGGTTTGTTTTGCAATATCAGTGCCAGCCTCATGCTGAGAGAATCTCTAGCATTCTCTCTCGCTATATTTAGTATTTAAAGTGGTTGTTTTTTTAAATTCAATGTTGTGCAGGAGTCTTAATTAAATGTTTCATGCTGTGTAACAAAGTGAAGCTACGAATCTCGCTTTGGCTCGAGTGATTATTGATTTGTGTCCATTTCAGAGCTAGTTTCCCAGAGGGACTCAACTAAAACAATAACACAACTGTCTAACAAGGTATAACAACAGCGTAGAGTTAATAAACAAGGAAATATAAGTCTTCAAACAACTTAGCATCAAATGTGGTATAACAACTGCCTAAAATAGACGAAACACTTCTCGACGTTTCGACATGAGGGCCTTCGTCAGGAGAGTTAGTATTACTAACCTTAGTTACTATTACTACCTTACTACCTCTCCTGACAAAGGCCCTCAGGTCGAAACGTCGAGAAGTGTTTCACCTATTTAGGCAGTTGTTATACCACATTTGATGCTAAGTTATTTGAAGACGCTTCCACGCTGCTCTCTGGTTATGTTTAAAAAGGGTTTAAATTATGTCCATCGTGATTAAATATTTCATGCTGAGACCCAAACTATTGATATGAATCTCGCTTTGGTTCGAGTTATTGATTTGTGTTGATTTCACAAACAGTCTCACAGAGAAAGGCATGAAATAATAAAAAGTGATTATTTGCCTTCGTCGATGAACAAAAACACAACATGTTAAACACAAAGGTTAAATTACGATAAAAAGTATTGAATAACAAGTAATTTCAAGTGGAAAGATTTTCAATCGAAAATAAGACCTATCAACCCTCTGAAAATTAGCCAACATCAAGTATAGTGCTACAAAATCACAATTGATTTATTGAAAAGTGTTTGAAATTCAGATGAAGACACAGAAGACGTAAGGATTTCAAAAGCGTATTCAAATACAGCTTTTATGCGACGTTTTAAAGGGGGGGAGGCTGGGGAGATGTCTACGGAGAAGTGTTTATGACCCAAGTATCCAAGAGCATAATTCGTCAGAAGTGTTAGTAAAGTCATACTAACTCTCCTGACAAAGACCTTTAGGTCGAAACGTCGAGAATTTTTTCCGGTCTAACAGTTTTCAAACCACATTTGATGAGAAATTATTTCATCATATTTACATATGAAACTCTTTTACTAAAGAATTTATTCGCTGTACATGATTATTGCTGATGTTCACTGATTAATATTGAAGTGTTGAAATGAACCATCATAATATGAAATTATATCAACACATCAACAATATATTCACACGCATATTCACACTAATAATTGCACGTCTACAAATACAATAGTACACGAATATAATCCTAAATCTAATCTTAAATCTAATCCTAATCCAATCCATTAATCTCTTTAATTTTCGATAATAAAGAGGTTTAGGGATGGATTTAGGATTAGGTTGAGCTCGTGTATTATGAACCTGAAATTCGGAATAACTTTCCTTACCTTGATACACCAAGAAAATTATATCAACAAATACCCCGAACTATCCATATCCATCCTTGGAAGTCTCCTTCAGTGGTCTCAACTGTCCCCATTTTAACCTGAGATTTTGAAAAATGTTAAACATTAACTCTACTACCATGATGAATTTCTTAAGCGAAAAAAGTTACAAATCCTCTCTCAAATCGAGAAGGGTACTGGGTCAGGTCTGGAACCGCAAAGCATCTATGGATTGTTTTGGTGGAAAGGTAATACAATAATACGTAAATTACGATATTTCGTAGAGCATAGGTCCAAAAGCAATCTTTAAAAGTTCGATTGCGTTTGCTAAAAAATCTGGACGAGAAACTTTTGTAAACAAGTATAATTAATGCTCTGCATAAATTAACCCAGCTCTGAATTTTAATTACCCTCCTGTAGAATTGCGATAATATGGAAGACATTCTCTGTCGGTTTCAACAATTCTTTTCATACAGAAGCGATGAAACTCATTTCTTTATTTAAGATCATAAAAAAGGTTTCTTACTCAAGATATTAAAGTCTCTTCATCAGCTTATAATGCACTCAGAGATATAAAATATTACATTCAAATGATTACTGGTTATACTTTACAATACGGGTGTATAAAAAGTAAACTCACTTTAGCGAGATATTGTACGTAACTTACTTGATCAACGAGAATAACTTTCGGATATGAAGACAGAACAAGCATTTGGCTGTTGAATGAAACGATTTTCACAGCGTAGAGAAAATAAACAAGGAAATATAAGTCGATTAAAAATCGTGGCAAGAAAATGATTGAATTTCAACACACATCCTGATGCACGTTTGTCGCCCATGCATAATAATTATTCTAAGCATCGTTTTACAAAAGACAGTTTGACAAATCCGTGATTAATTGCTTTGTTCTTTCTTTATCATAGCGCAGAGGTGAAAATATTTGAATTTGATCAGGATTCTTCAACCAACTCGTATTTGTTTATCAACAGCTAAAAGCCAGGGGCAGGTTGTGTGAAAGCTGGATAGCGCTATCCACCGGATAGTGTTTTTTTTAATCGCTATAAAATCGCCCGCTGTTGGTTATAACTTTTATTAAATTTTGAGTAGAAGCGGTTAGGTTATAGTGCTTTTCTCAAACTATATTTTGGTGGTATTTTTGTGTTTTTCGCCCGCGTATTCGCTGAGTTATAAGACTGTAAAAAAGTAGGTCCATTTAAATCCTAAATTAATCAGACCAGACCGGAATCAACAAACAACACATCTTTAAAGTAACAAGACGAGACTAAAACTGCAATAAGAATAGCAAGATTATAGTTATTATAGTTACATACCGTTCCAAATAGCACAATTTCTCGATGAATTTGCAGAGTTTAAAGGTTTCTTGCACAGAAGGAAGTCAGAGGGAACTCCTGCAAGTGATCGGAACATTTTCGGCACACTGTCGCGCTCACTTCGGAAACACGAGATTTTACGAAGATAGGCAGTGTGATCCATCCATTATATCGTATAGATTATGCAGCTCAGTGGATATGCAAGCCATATTTCCAAAAGTGAAATATTATTGTGACATACACTCCAGTTTTTGCATGAAACACGACTATTTTAGTTTCTGTTAAAAGCGAACGTAAACGGTAAACCGCAAATATCTTCACAATTTTTTGAGCATTAAAGTTGAGCATGGTTCGACAACGTTTTCTTTTACCCAGAAAATTATTTAAGACCATTTTTCTTTTAAACTACAGATTTCTTCATGTGTCACTTTGACAAAAACAACTCGCCGCCATTTTGAAAAATCCGCTCAGCTGATTATTGCGTAAGAATTCCGAGGTCGCTCGACCAATCAGAAGCCAGAACTTTCAAAAATCACTTTTGCAATTATTATACGAATTCATTTTATATTATTAAGCTTGTAACGCCATGCCTTGTGGGCTTTTTGGGTTATAACCACTGGTCAATTCACGCTTCGTTAAAACGCTTGATAGCGACTAGCAAGAACTATCCTGAATAACCATCGTAAAAATAATTAGGCTCAGTTTGGAAATATCTATCTTTTATTGATCAATATTTATAATCAAACTTATTTCACTAATGAATCTAATGTCCTTCATATTGCTAATGTTCATTGGTTAAGATTAAAATTTCAAATTGACCCTATTTACACACTAATAATATTGGTTAAACCTCACCAGACGTCACAGTATAAGAATTTAGAAATGTTATAGATGACAACAGCAGTCATCAACATATAAGAAGTTTATAAGAACATATATAAGAACACAGTGTAAAGGTCATAAAACTTTCAGATGTGAGGTTTCACAACAGCGGTTGCATTCCATCTTTTTTCTATCATTCCTGGCAGTTCTTTCCAGCCATCTCCACCAATGGTAAAGGTTTCCACTGAGTTGAGACATCCCTGCTCATCATTGCGTCCACCAAACACGATAATGACGTCATTCATGATGACGGCACAACTGCCGCTCCTTTTATTAATCATGGAGGGAAGCCACCTACTTTGCCCCGTCTCAGTCTCATAGATGATGACGTCATCTAATATTCGACCATTGTTATCCAAACCACCGAGAACGATGATCTTATCACCCCAAATGACTGTGGACATTTCAAAAACAGGCTTAGGTAACGATGGACATGGCGTAAAGTTATTCTCAACCAAATCATAAACAACAACGCCGTCAGTAGCATCCTCATAACTCTCGGTTGTTGATCCACCCAAGATAAATACCTTTCCATTAACTATCTCTGCTCTGTGTTCATATCGTGGCTCTTTCATTCTCGTCAGCAACCTCGACGTGTGAGGCGGAATAAGAGCAGTCTCGTATATGGCATCAGATATCATATTTTTATCCTCGTTGAATCCGCCTATAGAAATCAATTTATCTTCATAAACAAGGGCGGCATGGCCTCTTAACTTTGCCGGCAAGTTACCATCAAACATTGTCCATCGCAAAGGACACTGCTTCATATTTAACGCTTCTATTGTGTCAATGGCATCATCCACACCCACACCGCCTGCGACAAGGACGTTATTGTTGTAAACAAACGATGCTGTTTTACTTCGGCGATTATTGAGTCTTAAACATAGACTTCTTCTCAGCTAATACTGTAATATTTCAACATATCCAAAGGACGGATGTCTTCATCGCTATAGTCACCGCCAATGATAATAACGTCTTGTTTCTTGGCTGAAATTGTGGGGTCAATTGCATGAGCACTATTATTGTGAACAGTGTTAATATCTATTTGTGATAAATGATTGAGTAACAATTCTTCAACTCTTTCCAGTCGCTCTTTCGTCACCTAAACAGTTATAGAAACACGCATGGAGAATCAAGAAGATTTACTGACGACGTTAGCTTAACTGTAAATGGATCTGTGGCATATGATCTTGTGAATAAACGATGAATTTTTAAAGCTCAGAATTGTATTTTACGACGTTTCTAAGAGTGTTGTAGTTAGCGTTGCAACGAGGATCATCTGAGCGCTTTCATCACCTTCATCTAAATAAGCCCGTCGCCCGTCGGAACCATATTTTGCAATCATCGTCCAGGCAAATGACATAATTATCGAGAAGGTGCATTTCGTCAGGTGACAGCTTATATGATAATCAATGACCAGCAATTATGAAATATTATCACAATATTTTCTTACCTCCATTTCCTCAACTTTCTCGTTAATTCCTGATTGGGTTTTTTTCATCTCGTCAAGAGCTTTCTAAAATAACAACCTCACTCACGTTCATACTCATTTAATATGAATTACCTCGGAAACGGGGCGATGGAAACAAGTTAAGATCTCAAAGGATTAAATTTTATGTAGCAAGAATATAGAAGAAACATCATTGTAAGTTGTTTTTTAAGAAACATCTTCTTAAGCTAATTCCTAAGAGAGGGGATCTCTGTCTTTTGTACATATCGCCTTGACTATATCAGTTAAAAATTAACCTTCGTCTCATCTTGTCTCACTTCGATTTGATCTTGTTTTCTTGCCATTTGAAGATGCTGAATATACAGCTCAGCTTGAGACGTTGTCAGTTTGTTGACATTTGTCTAAATTACAAGTATGATGGTTAAAATATTTTATTGTGGTAACACGATCCAACTGATGTGTACAAAATTTCTCTATTATATCTCTGTGGTGATATAATAGAATATAATCTATGAAGTGATAGTTGAAACTGGGGGCCTTAGGCACATTACTATATGGACCTTATCAGATTTCATTGTTCTGCTTGTTTAGACTTAGTCTCATCTTGTCTCACTTCGATTTGATCTCGTTTTCTTGCCATTTCAAAGTGCACTTTTTAATAAAGCGGGAAAACATAATGACCAAGGATCTAAACTTTTTTACTTAAAAGTCCTCTGGATCAGGCTGTTCTCTCAACGTACCTTGAGTTCCACGAAGACACCATCATTTTTACAGGATTTCTGGTGGCTATTCAATTCTTTTTCTTGTATAGAAGTCATATTTTCTAAACGTTTTAAAAGGAACAGTGTTTCAGAAGTACATAAACTAAAACACTGGATTAAAATTTAAGCCAGGGTTAGCGCTAACCTAGCTTTGAACTACTGCCCCTGTTTTAAACAAGATGAAAATGGGCGCCTACACCCAGCATGAAAAAATAACAGCTGCGCTTTCAATGCTGTGTACATTTTATTAGTACAGCCAAACACCGTAGCTTATACCTGAGGTCTGTGGGCCAGCTTCATTTATCGTTCCTTCTGCTAAAGTCGTGGCTGTTTCAGACGACGATGGAAAAGCTGGCGTAGCTGACGGATTGGACGTCGAAGGTGTATCAACAGCAGTTACAGCTGGTGTGTCATGGGTTGGCGAAATCGCTGGAAGTTCTCCGGTAACCTCTGAGGTATCCATCTTCTTTAGATCAAAATATTTTGATAGTACGAGTAGCTAAAATTTAGCATTCACGGTGAACTGGCGAATATTGAGCTGGTCATGGCGATTATAAATGTGATACCAGGCGATTATAAATGTGATACTATAATTAAACCAGGCAGCTTTTAGACTTACCAAAGATGATTAAATATGACAGATTTTCACTTTGACATTTTACAACAAATCAAATTGGTGCGAACGCAATCATAACAATTTTGTATTTAAGACAACACTTTGATATATCGTGATGTTTATTGTGTTTTGGGGACTTTGAGACATCACCGTGCGAAAATTTTATTCATTTCAGACATTTGCATTTCTTTAATATTCCAAGTATAAACATGAGTTTTCTAGTATTATTAAATTGCTCGTTGCATGATTGAGTCATTATCTTGTGCATAAAAATATTTAAACTGCTTCTTTGACAACAGTATTAGCCGCACGAAGCTATGATAAGCCTCAATACTTGGGCTTCATGACTTGATGAGGAATAAGATTTAAACAACAAAATATGTCTTGCACAAAAGATTTGAAGCTTGCACACGGCAAAAACGAATCGTTTGAATTAATAACCTTGTGTATAGTTTAAGCCTCAAAATGCCCATTTCAAAGCTGTCAGATGTGTGATGAGCTGTCAAAAGATTGCAGAATGCGTATTCAGAAGAAAAGTTGAACTTTTTAAAGTTATTCAATAGTTTTCTCTTTGATAGCGATACAGAAATACACAATTGTGAACCAGAGATTAGATTTTTGGCTTGAAACTTCATAAACAGCGACTCTGATCAAAACCATGCTCTAGCTTTTAACTATCCACCCTACACAAACAACTACTACTAGAAATAATGGAGTTATCTTAGAGTTTTATTAGTTTAATTCAAATGAGCTAAGCTTCTTTGGTCACGCGTTATATGTTGCGCGACTAAAATGTTCGTTTTCTGAACAAGAAATTCAATGTACTAGAAATTCCACAATGCGTAGCTTTCTAAACATAACGCAAGGTCAGTTCAGAAAACATCCAACTTTCCGAGGTGCCTAAATTTCGGATACACCGAAGCTGCAAGTATATTTCTTATACGACAAACCTATTCACATTAAGGAATAAACGAAGCTCACTTTTGATAAAATAAAGGACAACAATCAATATAATATACATTCGACATTATTTTGGAGGTTTTTTCCCGTGCAACCGATAATTTGCGACGCGTACATGCACTATGGCGTCTCTCGCAAAAACAATATCCTTCAACTCTTCTGTTTCTATGATTGTAAATGACAGATCGTACAGTTTAACCTAAAAAAAATATTTAAATAAAACTTACAGAAATAAACGGTAAATGGTGAGAAATTCTTTCTTTTGACACTCAGCAAAAGTTATTGTTAATGCTGTCAGGAGTGATTCGTATTTAAGACAACGCCTTGAGACGCCGTAATATTTATAGCGTCGAAGACGTGGCGTCGTAGCTTTAATGTAATTGCTGAAACATCCTTATAAGGAGCTAACAGCTTGTCACTGACAATAGTCGCCTCGTCGAGAAATTAAAGAGCCTGTACCACATGCATAGGTTTTTAATAAAATTAGTTAGAACATTGTAATATCGAGAATTACCTTTTTAATTAAAGAAACAATATTCGGTATATATCAGTGGTTTTGTAAATTTTAAGTAAATTTTGAGCAGTTGTAAAAACGTATTGGTTATAGATCTCTAGACGTGTATAAAGACTTGTGTCGCAGTAGAGTTACAAAGCTTCTTTGTGTTTTGAAAAAGTGTACTTTCGTATTTCGAAACTAACGTTTCAGTTCAAGCTGGAATGACAGAAGTAATATTTTGGTTGCGACGTTACCAAGAAAATTCAAAGAAACATTTTTAATGACAACATCGCATGACCACAAGTTTACAACGTCAACCTTACACGGCTTGCCTTTAACAAAAGAGGACCGGAAATTGAAACAACGCACCACCTGGAGTTTTAATTTAAAATGATTTAAAACAATACAGGGTGTCCCCAAAACCCCCCAAAATTATTGAAAACACCTGTTGTTAGAATTTGAAGGCTTCGTAGAAAACACAAGCAACCGGATAATTGGATGGATAGCTGGTAACTCTAGTAACTGAATATTGATAAATATCAATGTTAAATAACGAAATAAAGATTATGGGCAACATTTCTAGGCTCAATGGTAAATTATAGATTGTCCTTAAGTCTTACGCGCTATAGAATATTATCTCCATATTCATTTAAACCCTGTACAATTGTGGGCCCCAACACAACAGGGTGCTTAGGCATTCAAACTCTAGCTGTAAAATTGTTATGGATAATTTCAGTGGTTTTGAGGTTTTTAGAACACCCTGTAGTGCAATATAATTCCGAGTTTTATTGCAATATTATTCCGAGTTTTATTGCAATATTATTCCGAGTTTTATTGCAATATAATTCGGAGTTTTATTGCAATATTATTCCGAGTTTTATTGCAATATTATTCCGAGTTTTATTGCAATATTATTGCAATATTATTCCGAGTTTTATGGCAATATTATTCCGAGTTTTATTGCAATATTATTCCGAGTTTTATTGCAATATTATTCCGAGTTTTATTGCAATATCATTCCGAGTTTTATTGCAATATTATTCCGAGTTTTATTGCAATATTATTCCGAGTTTTATTGCAATATTATTGCAATATTATTCCGAGTTTTATGGCAATATTATTCCGAGTTTTATTGCAATATAATTCCGATTTTTATGGCAATATAATTCCGAGTTTTATTCCGAGTTTTATAGCAATATATTTCCGAGTTTTATTCCAATATTATTCCGAGTTTTATTGCAATATTATTCCGAGTTTTATGGCAATAATATTCCGAGTTTTGTTGCAATATAATTCCGAGTTTTATTGCAATATTATTCCGAGTTTTATTGCAATATTATTCCGAGTTTTATTGCAATATTATTCCGAGTTTTATTGCAATATTATTCCGAGTTTTATTGCAATATAATTCCAAGATTTATAGCAATATAATTCCGATTTTTATGGCAATATAATTTCGAGTTTTATTGCAATATTATTCCGAGTTTTATTGCCATATTATTCCGAGTTTTATTGCGATATTATTCGGAGTTTTATTGCCATATTATTCGGAGTTTTATTGCAATATTATTCCGAGTTTTATTGCCATATTATTCCGAGTTTTATTGCCATATTATTCCGAGTTTTATTGCGATATTATTCGGAGTTTTATTGCAATATTATTCCGAGTTTTATTGCGATATAATTCCAAGTTTTATAGCAATATAATTCCGATTTTTATGGCAATATAATTCCGAGTTTTATTGCAATATAATTCCGAGTTTTATTGCCATATTATTCCGAGTTTTATAGCAATATATTTCCGAGTTTTATTGCAATATTATTCCGAGTTTTATTGAAATATAATTCCGAGTTTTATGGCAATATAATTCCGAGTTTTATTGCAATATTATTCCGAGTTTTATGGCAATATAATTCCGAGTTTTATTGCATTAGGGACAGACTTCTGGGCTGGTTGTATGAAAGCCGGATAGCGCTATCTGTTATATTTCGAACCAATATAAATATAATAACGACTAACTCACCAGACAGTTATATCGTAAAATGTAATAAACTAGGAAAAGAACATGCTTTTATATAGATACGGATATATATACAAATTTACATATGCTAATACATTAATCTTATGATTGTTATACAAATTATCATATGACAACTATGACACTATCCACAGGATGATGTTTTTTCAACAGTTCTAAAAATGCTTGAAAAGCAATAAAATTTCAACTTTGGAACCAATTACATTATTGAAGAGGATCCTCAATTTAAGAATACTAAAATTTAATCAAAGATAACACAATTATATTGAGAGAACGTTCAGATGTTTGGATTCACAACAGTCAGTAGCGTAGGCAGCCTGTCGATTTGTCTCGCTATGCTAATATTTTAGTTTTCACTGACTGTGAAAACAATAGATTTCTAAAGACATGAATAATTATAATAACTCGAAATTTACAAATTGGGCAAAGCGGGACAAAATCGTCAGGCTGACTACGCCACTGACAACAGCGGTTGCATAACACCTCTCTTCTATCATTCCTGGCAGTTCTTTCCAGCCATCTCCATCAATGGTGAAAGATTCCACTGAGTTGAGGTATCCCTGCTCATCATTCCATCCACCAAACACGACAATGACGTCATTCAGTATGACAGCTGAGCACCCAGCCCTTTTGTAAATCATGGAGGGCAGTTTCTTGCTTTGGCCTGTCTCAGTGTCATACTGAATGACGTCATTTAATACCCGATGCTTCTTATCGAGGCCACCAACGACGATAATTTTATCACCCCAAGTGACTGTGGACATACGACAAACAGGCTGAGGTAAGGATGGACATGGCTTGAACTCATTCTTAATCAAATCATAAACACAACGCTGTCAAGAGCATCTTTACTAAGGATGGTTGTTGACCCGCCCAAGATAAATAGTTTTCCATTAACAAGTTCTGCTCTGTGGTCCTTTTTTGCCTCAGGCATTCTCGTCAGTAGCTTCGCAGTATAAGGTGGGGTAAGAGCAATCTCATAAATGGCATTCGACGTTCTTGTTTCATTCCAGTCATATCCTCCTATTGTATATAATTTTCCTTGATAAACTATGACGTCATGACTGGATAATTTGACGGGCAGTTTACCATCAAACATTGTCCATCGCAAAGGATGTTGGTTCATCTTCAAAACTTCGATCGTGCCAGTTCCATCATTATCGTCGTGACCACCAACGACCAGAACGTCATTGTTGTAAACACATGATGCTGATCCTGCTCGAGGATGATCGAATGGTGGCAGCATAGTCGACCTCTTCTTAACAATATTATACTCCTCAACAGTATTCAAAGGGGATGTGCTCTCAAAGGCATACCAACCACCAAGAATAATAACGTCTTGGTTGTTAGTTGGAATTGTGGGATCCGTAG